GCGTCCAGGCCTTCCCGCCTGTCAACTACTGATTTCTTTGCTTTGCTATTTATTATTTATTTATTCCTCCACTATTTGTTATTGTTGTATGCTAATGTTTTTATGTTTTTTTTTAATTGTTTTTGATATTCTGTAAGCCGCCCAGAGTGGTAGAATATACCAGATGGGCGGGATATAAATCAAACAAATAAAATAAATAAATAAATTATGATTGTGTGGTCCTTTTGTGTGTGAGTTGCCAGCTACTTTGAAGAGACATATTTTCCATGACTTGAAGATCCTAAGGGATTATTTCTCATCAAATCAAAAGGAAAAGAGCCTTGCACCAGCATTCTTGACAGTCCAGTAGAAACTTGTCCATTACTTATTTTTTTGTAAGGTAAAGGTTCCCCTTGACATTTAGTCCAGTCGTGTCCGACTCCAGGGTGTGGTGCTCGTCCCCGTCTCCAAGCCGTACAGCCAGAACACGGCCAAGAAGCCCGAAAAACCCACGACAGCCGTTAGATCCCGGCCGTGAACGCCTTTGCGAATACACGTAGAGCCAGCGTTTGTCCAAAGACAGTTTTCGTGGCCAGCGTGACGACACTGAATGCCATGACTTTGTAGTGGGATATTAAAAGTTGGCGTGTAGGTGTATGTATGAGAAATGAGCCATTTGAGAGAGAAAGAAGCCTTTGTTTTCTGAGAATGGATTACTCCCCCCCCTCAAAAATGCCTATGTATGCAAACATGGTGACAAGGTTACTTGGCTTTAATAAAGTGGGTTGTGTGACTATAAAAAAATGAACCACTGGAATATAAAGCCTTAATTCTGCCTTATCCCTAGTAACTAGTATGTTGCATCCATCCATGTTGGGATATCGCATCCTTTTTGAGTGCCTCTGAAAAGCATTGCTGGAAAAAAATTTAAATACTTCTGGCTTGTATTAGTCCATGTTTCTGGGACATTGGCTGGATTCTTCTGAGACTCGGAGCATACTTGGCTCAAAGTCCGGTATGAATCTTTAGAAATCTTGTGTATTTGCCTAAATTAACCTGCCTAGGCATATGTGCTGAAGTACGTATATAAAGGCAATGTTTGAATGTATGTGCCATTTTTAACAAAAATCGACTGCCTTGGAAATGTGATTTAAAAGAGGATATAAAAAGGGGAAAAATAATGTTGGAGGTTGCTTTAGACCCCTTCAAATAGCAGGAGTTCCTTACACATCATCATTTGTTATAAATAAATAAAATTAATGAAAGACATTTTCTTGGTTCCTATAAATAGTTTCAGCTTTTTTCGGATTTGAATTCTGTTAAGGTAAATTCTTTAGAAACAATCTGAAAGGATCTAAATTCTTCAGGAATACCAATGCCATGGATCAAACAGCGCCTGTCTCTTTCTGAACAGAAAGGAGGAAGAGTGCGGGCAATCTTAATTCAGCACGGACCGTGTTTGGATATAGAGGCATTCCCACCATTTGTCATTAGACCTGAATATAGCTCAGTGGTTGAGGTTGTGGGTTTGATTTCCCCCTTGTGCCTATTGTGAGTAGAGCCAGCCTGGGTAGCCTTGGGCCAGCTGCACTGTCCCAGAAATACCCCTCAGAAGAAGGGGATGAAGAACCCCTTCCGAGTATTCTCTGCCTGGAAAACCCTTGAAAGGGATGTCGTAAGTCAGAATTGACTTTAAGGCACATATTATTACACAGGTGCCTCGCATTCATTCCAGTGAAATCGCTGTAGAACGAAAACATCGTAAAGCGAACTTTAAAAGCCCATAGAAATGCATTAAAACCTGTATAATGCGTTCCGATGGACTTAAAACTTACCGTCCAGTGAAGATCCTCCATAGGGCAGCCATTTTCGCTGCTTGTCTTGCGAGGAATCTCCCTAAACACAGCAGGGAACCATTTTATTTACCTGGTGGCCATTTTGAAACCGCCGATCAGCTGTTGGAAAATCGTTTTGCGAAGAATCAGTTCCCGAAGCAGGGAACCGATCACCGCAAAGCGAAATTCCCCCATAGGAAACATTGTTTTGCGATTGCAAAAAGTTCATCGTAATGCGATTTCATCGTTAAACAAAGCGATCGTAATGCGAGGCGCCACTGTATTATTGGAAATGAAGTAACCATTTGCTGCCATTCAAGGACACCCTCAGATTGGTTACCTGCCTGCAACTTTGGTCTCCGATAAGGCTTAGCCACTTGGTTCAATAGTTGCTGCTTGTGCCTATAGAGCTTTAATCCTGCACATCATCCCTACAGATGTTAACATTTGCCCTAAGCAGTACTTTGTTTACTATTACATCAATTTCATTAATTAGCTGCATCCCATCATCCGGATCCACAACAACCTTGACCGAAGTGTGGGTTAGTTCTCTCTTGTGTCCTGTTTTGAAAGCAGAAAAGCAAATGTATAAATCTCATAAATTACATAAACATGCATATATTTTGGTTGAATAGCAGGGAAAACTTCCTAACTGTTAAGAGCAGTACGACAATGGAAACAGTGACATTGGGAGAGAGTGAGCACTCCGATGCTGGAGGCATTCAAGACAGAATTAGACAATGCTCTCTTAAGATCTTTGGTTTTAATGTATTTCTTTGATATAAATATAAAATAAATATCCAAAATTATATAATTGTCTTGCACTGAATAGTGGGTTGACTTTATAGGCCCCTTCCAACAGCACCATTCAATGATACTATATGAAAATGTGTATTGCAAATGAGCATGAATCAGGGATACTATATAAAAATGTGTATTACAAATGAGCATGAATCAGTTTGACCCAGTTCATCTAAATTCATACACGTGGCACCATGGATGTCATGTGTGTCCCCCCCAACCAGCTAACCCACTCACAAGCTGGCACACGCTAACCTGGTTGTCGTCCTGTGGTGTATATACACCAAGTGTGTGTGTTATATATATAATTTTACATGTACGTATAAGAGGACCTTCATATCTGCGAGCTCGGTATCTGCTGATTCACTTATCCACGGTCTGACACTATAAAGAGAAAAATCCTAGAAAGCAGAAAAACATGAGCAACTTAATTAAAAGCAATTGACTCGACGACCATCCTGCCCTTCAACATCTAGGGGGTGCCTGCAGTTGTGAATTCAGTCTAGGGTTGCAGCCGTGAAAAATGAGCTGCAAAGAGGGGGAGCAGGATAGGTAAGAACCAAATTAAAATACAAGAACAAATTTTAAAAAGACGAAAACGTGGTGGCACCTTCAAGACGGACAGTTTTATTTCAATATGAGCTTTCCTGGACAAGTCCACTTCTTCAGAAATAGAGAGAGATAACATGGCAGATATTTATAAATGGCTTCAAAATATTTTTGGCTCGTAAGAAAAGTCAAATGATATTTAACAGTGTGTGTGTGGGGATAGACTCTTTAATATACAAGTATCTTTTGAGCTATTACAGGTATAATCTTTTAAGCCTTGTGCTATTATAGGATGTAAGAATCTTGTCAATCGTAATTTAACATAGTAGTAATTAGTCTAATGCTAATTATACAGAGGAGACTGGCCATTTACAGCTGCTAATGATCATTCATTCATTCATTCATTTTTTTATTAACTTACATGCCACCCACTCTACCCAAAGATCTCTGGGTGGCTTACAACAATTAAAATACAATAAAAGATAAAATGATTAAAATACAATTAAAATATAGGAGGCTCGTAGCAGCAGCAGCAATGATGTGTATATTAGCCAGGGAATGGATAGATGGATGACCCCCCTGCGAGCGCAACATGGGCTTCCCTTTGAAGTTTTTAAACGAGGGAGGGAGGGAGCTGTTATTTTTGCGGAGCCGGAGGTCGCGAGTTCGATTCCCCGCTTGTGCCTCGTTGACAAGGGGCCGGACTCGGTGACCCGCAGGATCCCCCCCCCTTCCAGCCCTACCCTTCTAAGATTGCTCTTAAAAAAAAGCTGGATCGACTCAGAAGCCCTTCGGTTTCTGCCCCGTTTGGGGGAAGAGATCGGCAGGGTTAAACCCACGGAGCGCTGCTGGCCTAGAGAGCCTAGCTAAGTGCAAGCAAGGAGGGGGCAGGAGAGGAAATTGATTTTTTTTTTAAAAATTGTAAGCAGCAACAGCAGCAGGAAATCTCTCTGCCTCCCGGTGCAAATGCAGGAAGGGGTGAGTGTTTCATCAGGGTTGCATATATATAGATATACAGTTCATGATGCGGTGGGGGGGGCAGGTATATAGCTGCAGTGGAGAAATAAACACTGAATATTGGCCTCTGAGATTGAGCCCGTCCCCATTTTTTAAGGTTGATTTTTTGGCGATCAACCATCATCATCATCATGTCCCGCCAAGTCAGTTCTGAATTATGGCGGCCCTTTCCAGGGCTTCCCCCCCCCCCAGGTAGACAGTATTCAGAAGTGGTTGACCATTGCCTTTTTTTTCTCCCTGGGGGGGGTCTTTCTGGGAGTGTGTAGCTTGCCCAAGGCTAACCAGGTTGGCTCTGAGCCTCATTGGGGGATTCGAACTGCTGGCTCTGCAGCCAGGGTACCTCCACCCCCTGAGCTATCCCACAGCAATCACTCCCCCCTTTCTTTTTTTTAATTTTTATTTATTTGTATTTATTGAATTTTATTTATTTCTAGGTTAGAACGAAGATCTCCATCCCTCTTCTCCCCCCCTCCCCTTCCTGTCTGGGGATTATTTTAAAAACTTTTTTAAAACCACTTTCCCCTCCTGTTTATTGCAAGTTCTCTGGGGAAGCGGCAAGCCCATGTGGCTTTTATGGGGTGGTGTGTTGAGTGGGGTGATCTTTGTGTAAACAGCAGTGCATGGTCCCATATGCCCCCAACCCACTCTCTCTATAGGATGGGGGTCGTCCCTTTAGTTTTCATCAGCTTGATCTCGAGAACCCGGCTCATTCTCCCCATCTTTCTCCCCCCCCCACCAACCCCATAGGAGATCCTAATGCCACCTCATGTCCTCTAGCAAAGGCTGAATCAGGCCAGTAGCCACCTCTGGAAGCAAAGAAAAAAGAGATTTTAAAAAAGCAATGTTTATGTTTAGAAGCTCAGAGGCCTGCAAAGATTCTGAATTTGGGGTTAGCTTGAGTGTGTGGGAGTCGCGGTGCAGTTTCTGGCTTCTGCAGGGATTTCTGCAAAAGCCTAATCTGCCCATCCTGTTCTTTTCTAGATGGGGTTGCCATAAGTCAGGTGGAACACAACGTTAAGCAAACAGCAATGCAGTCAAGAAGGGGTCTGTCATCAAATGACCGGCCCTAGGACTGCATAGGAAGGAACTTTATGCTAGGCTTGTCTGATAGGACACATTGAATACAGTGGTGCCTCGCTTAACGATTGCCTTGTTAAACAATGAAACTGCTTGACGATGAGGTTTTTGCGATCACAAAACGATGTTCCTATGGGTAAAATTCGCTTAACGATGATCAGCCCCCTGCTTTGGGAACCGATTTTTTTACTAAATGACGATTTAGAAACAGCTGATCAGCGGTTCTAAATGGCCACCTGCTGTGCAAAATGGCTCCCCACTGTGTTTTCAGGACAGATTCCCCGCTTTACAGGCAGCGAAAATGGCCGTCCCTATAGAGGATCTTCGCTGGATGGTGAGTTTTCAGCCCATTGGAACGCATTGAACCGGTTTCAATGCATTTAAATTGGCTTTCTCGTTTCACAAGACGATGTTTTCGTAAGACAGCGATTTTCGCGGAATGAATTAACATCGTCTTGCAAGGCACCACTGTATTCAAAACGTGGTTCGTGTCTTCATGGATTCCTTCCCGTGCAGTCCTGGGATCGGTCCTTTGAGGAGGGACCCCCTTCCTGACTGCATTGCTGTTTAATGTTGCGTTCCACCTGAGTTATGGCAACCCTAATAAATGGATTTTTTTTAAAATTCCTTTGTTTTAGGCAATTAATAGTTACAGCACTACATTTTTGGACTGCAAATATTCCCCAGCCAGAGGAAATTGGCAAAAACAAACAAACTAGCCATATTTCTTTTCTAATCTGTATCAAAGGAACTCTTATGAATGACAAAGTCAGGGAATAAGCTTTATTTCTACAAAACGTGAAGCAGATACCTTCCCAGTTAGAGCAGGCAATAGTAAAACATGGTCCCGCTCTCAGCTGATTCAGTCTCTGTAGTGTGAAATAGCTCAATTGGTATCCCATCAAACCCTGGTGATTTATTTCTTCCTAGTGGTTTCAGGGCAGCTTTCATTTCACTTTCTGGAACTGCAGGTTCTTCGTCCTTGGATTCTTCTTCAAAGGAGTCTGTCATCCTTTTATCTCTTCTGTATAGATCTGTACTGTATACTGCAGAAAAGGTGGGATGTAAATCAAGCAAATTTATTTACTCTGTCTCTGTGTCACTCCTCCATTTTGTCTCTCTCTCTCTCTCACTCTCTCGTACACAGGAGCCATAGCATGGATGACATGTCAATCGATACCTCTTTGTCCAAACACCCAGAAAGCACTATAGGATCAATGAAAAAATGCTCATAGCTCAGGGCGCAAACCTCATGCTTCCTCTGTGGTTGCATCGAAAGAGGGAGGTCTGCAATCCATAAGGTCCCCCCGCCCCGGCCGTGTCCGTCTGGAAGAGTCAAAATGTCTGCTGAACAAGCGACGGTGGCCCAGAGGGACCTCCCCTTCCAAACTGTGGAAGATCTGGGGCTGCCGTTGCAGATCAAAACAGAGGAGGAAGACGATGAAGAGGAGAGCCGAGGGGTGAAAGGGCCTTGCGTCGTCCAGGCTGGAAGGCTCAGGGACATTTTGGGCTGGGCGGGACCAGAGCAGGAACCAGGAGAGTCTGGGCCCCAGGGCTGGGAAGAGCAGAGCCAAGAGCACCCGGTGCTGCTCCAGTCACTGCCTTTGGGGTGGGGGACCCCCCAAGAGACAGGAGGACTCAGGACGAGGCACCGAGGAATCAGGAGACGGGAGCAGCAGGTAAGAGTGGAGACGATGGCGTGACCAAGGGCACCAGCGGGCTAGAAATAATAATTCCTAGAAGGAGAAACGGCATCTGCATGTCAGATGCTTTAATTGAGACCCGAACTGCAGATCAGGCATAGCTGGAAGTATGTAGGGGTAATAGCTGAAATCCAGTAGTAAGTCACCATTAAAGCCATCTCATTGAATCACTGGGGATTTGGTGAATCAAATACAGTGGTGCCTCGCATAACGAGCGCACCGTTTAACGACAAATTTGCATAGCGATCCGTTTTTTGGGATCGCTAATGCGATCGTATACCGATGTCTAGATAGGCAAAAACTCGCTTTGCGACTATCGGTGTTTCGCTTACTGATTTTTACATAGCGATTTTTTTAAATCAGCTGTTCGGCGGTTCCAAAATGGCCGCTGGATGCCCAAAATGGCTGCACGCAGTGTTTTCACGCCCTGCCCTCGCTTACCGAGGGTGCGAAAATGGCGGCCGGATGGGGAAACATCGCATAACGGTGAGTTTTGGAGCTATAGGAACGCATTAAACTAAGTTTAATGCGTTTCTGTGGTGTTTTCAGTTCCGTATAGCGATGTTTCCCCATAGCGACGGTTAATCTGGAATAGATGAACCTCGCTATGTGGGGCACCACTGTACTGTACAGTAATACGACGAGGGTGCGAAAATGGCGGCCGGATGGGGAAACATCGCATAACGGTGAGTTTTGGAGCTATAGGAACGCATTAAACTAAGTTTAATGCGTTTCTGTGGTGTTTTCAGTTCCGTATAGCGATGTTTCCCCATAGCGACGGTTAATCTGGAATAGATGAACCTCGCTATGTGGGGCACCACTGTACTGTACAGTAATACGATTATCCCGCATTACGACGAATCCACTTCACGACGACGTTTTTGCGATCGAAAAATGATGGTCTAAATGGGGGAATTTCGCTTTGCGATGATCGATTCCCTGCTTCGGAAACGTATTGGAGGATCTTCGCTGGACGGTGAGTTTTTAGCCCATTGGAACGCATTGAACGGTTTTCAGTGTGTTTCAATGGGCTTTATATTTTTGCTTTATGATGTTTTCGCTTAGCAGCGATTTTCCTGGAACGGATTATCGCCGTTAAGCGAGGCACCACTGTAGTCTGCAAGTTCTGTTGATTCATTGGGCCGACTCACTTACTTCTGCATTTCAGCCAGCGTGTGTAGAGGGAGGTTTAAAACGCCGCGGTTGTCTCTGTGTGGAGGAACTGGAACTGAGGCTTAGGGAGAAGCCATCGGACAGAGGGGAGGGATCAGGTGGGACTCTCCCTCAGCTAGCATCCCGCATATGGAACCTGGGAGTGGCTGACTAAAGTAACTTTTCCATGCTCTGCACCGGCATCGCCTTTGGGAGCGCAAGGTGGCCTCCATGGGATGGCAGAGTAGGGCTTTGTGAGGGTTTTGGTTGAGGGTTTTGGTTAAAAATAAATGAAAAAAAAATTAATTTTTTTAAAGTTGTGAGGTGTGGAGGTGGCTGTATTCCACCAAGGACATTTTACTGCTTAAGCCAGTGGTTCCCAACCTTGGGTCCACAAATGTTCTTGGACTACGACTCCCAGAGATCTTGGCTAAGCACAGCGAGTGGTGAAGCCTTCTGGGAGTTGTGGTCCAGGAACATCTTAGGGGGAGACCCAAGGCTGGAAACCACTGGCTTAAGGCAAACGGCAGCCTTCAGCCATTCTTGACTAGCCGCGTCAGGCGCTGCAGCTAAGAGTCACAGAGTCCGGATCATAAAAGAATACACGGTACCACTGGCTTAAGGCAAACGGCAGCCTTCCTTGACTAGCCGCGTCAGGCACTGCAGCTAAGAGTCACAGAGTCCGGGTCATAAAAGAATACACGGCGTGTGTGAATCAGCCCTTTGTCGCCATTCCCAGGGGCCAGTTCTGTTTGAAGAGATGGATGTGAATTCCCCGGAGTCGGAGCCGGTCCTCGCGGGTAGGCGGCGGCACCTCCACCGAGAGGCTAAACAGAGGCTGGAGCGTTCCCTCGGTAAGGGGTCCTTCTCTTCTCCAGGGTGGTGGCAAAGGGGGGGGGCATTCCCGGCACACGGCTGTGAAAAGTGCCCCTTTCTGCTTTCCAAACATCTCCCGACGGGGAATTTGGCACTTTCCAGAGGGTGGTGGGCTGTTGTTTTTTGCATGCTATGGTGATAGTGGTGTAAAACAGTTTTATATTTAACTAACCCTAGTAGGGACGTGGTGGCACTGCGGGTTAAATTGCAGAAGCCTCTGTGCTGCGGGATCAGAGACGCGGTGGCGCTGCGGGTTAAACCGCAGAAGCCTCTGTGCTGCGGGGTCAGAAGACCAGTGGTCGTAAGATCGAATCCGCACGATGGAGTGTGCTCCCGTCGCTTGCCCCAGCTCCTGCCAACCTAGCAGTTCAAAAGCAGGCAAAAATGAGAGTAAAGAAATAGGCAACACCTTGGTGGGAAGGTAATGGCGTTCTGTGTCTAGTCGTGCTGGCCACGTGACCACGGAAACTGTCTTCGGACAAATGCTGGCTCTACGGCTTGGAGACCGGGCCCTAGAGTCGGACACGACTGGACTAAATGTCAAGGGGAACCTCCACCTTTCCCTTAACCCTAACTCATAAACTCTTGATCTGCACTTCCCCAAATCTGGCACAGAGGAAGAGCAGGCTGCCTGCCTCATCTGTGCTAAATGTAGTTCTGATCCAACATCCAGGTTAAAAGTTACAATATTTTGTTTGAGGTATTCCCATGTTTAGAATGCCTTATAGAACGTTGATTTGCTCTCTGGCCCAATACCTTTAATTTTATTTATTTTATTTATGACCCGCCCATCTGGTCTAAAAGACCACTTTTGCTGCCTTCTAGGGTAGTAATAATCACTGGGATCCAAACTAGGGGAGGGACAATATTTTGTTTGAGGTATTCCCATGTTTCAGATGCCTTGTAGAACGTTGATTTGCTCCGCGGCCCAATACCTTTTGATGCCTTCCGGGGCAGCAATAATCACTGGGATCCAGACTAGGACAAGGGGAAGAAATTTCAAGGTTGTGAGATGCAGGAGCCTTTTTAATACCAAGTTTGCTTTGTTTTTGCCCTTTCTTAAGGTCACTTTTCTGTGTCAAGGATTTCTGTGTATTTTTCATTTCAAATATTTTTTTATTAGGCGGTTGCACTTTTAAAGAAATTTTAACACGCAGATGGAATTTTTGGTAGAAAGGCGTTAGGTGACAGAAGAGGAGAGGTAAAGAGGGGTGTCTCAAAAGTAAAAAAAAGAATTTGAAACTTGAAGAGTTTTGATTAAATTCCTTTAGCTGTGTAGCAGAAGTGCAGGAATGGAAAGAGCAGAATAGCAGTCCACCCCTTTTCTCATTAACTGGCACTTATCACGTCAGGACCTCACTCTGGAGACATTAGCTGGAGAAAGAATAAGTTTCATTACTTATGATTGAACAGATCAAACAGGAAAGTGATAAACGTGACTGCTTTCAGCAACAGGCTCTCACAGACTCACTAGAGAGAAGAGGGGAAAGGCAGACGAGAGAGGCGGGGCTCTCTTTGAATTCAGAGCCAGGAGGGAATGATTGGTTAGTGGTAAAGAGATTGACAGTCCCTCGAGACCAGAAAGGTACCTCCTGCTCAAACCTACTAAAGGCAGCCTGCGAGACTGCAAATACTCCCAACAGAAACTGAAAGGTTCGTGAGCAGCCATGTTAGATGAGCTTTAAAGCAAGCTTCCCATGTCGTTCCCCTCAGGGAGGACGCCTTCGATCACCCCGATCCCCAGCTTCACCAAAACAAGCCGCCGGGGGACCAACTGGTCCTACGGCGAAGTCCTGGACCTCCTCGATATTTGGGGGGAGCAACGAATCCAGCAGGTCCTTCAAAGCAGCCACCGGAACATGGACACCTTCCAAGTCATCGCCAACGAGATGGCCAAGCGGGGTCACGAGCGGACTGCCCAGGAGTGCCGGACCAAGACCAAAACGCTCCGGCGGGACTACAAGAAAGTCAAGGAGAGCCACGCGGCCGGGCGAGGGCAGAGCGCCTGCCCCTTTTACGACCAGCTGGAGCGGATTTTGGAGTCCGCTGGGGGGATTCAAAAGGACGAGTCTGGAGGAAACGAGGATGCTCCTGTGCGGGGACCCAAGGAAAGCGGCCCCCAGGATGGGTCCGGGGGTTCTAGGGAGACCCGGGACCTCTTTGACCTTTCAGTTGATTTAGGGGACCCCACGGCCGTGGCCTGCAAACTGGAGAATGCCGTAGGCGAACCACGAGGGACCCCTTTGCTGACGGTGGGTAGGTAACCCCTTTCGGTGGCTCCCAAAATTGAGACCTCCTGATTTTGGAATGGAGCTTTTCTGGACTCCAGTTCTGGGCTGTGCCTTGAACATCAACAGCGGAACAGCTTCCTGGAGCTGGTCACACCTATAAGCCGCCATCTTCTGCATTGGCCTCCCTTGGATTGACAGTCCGCCCTGCGACCGGCCCATCCCTTGAACAGCTGCTTTGAGCTGGTATCCACTGCCCTTTTAATGCAAGGGAAAGGCCCTTTAGCATAAACAGATGCTTTCTGGAGCTGCAGGACGTCTGTATCCACAGGACACCGGTTCCGAGCACGCTTGCCCCCACGGATGTAGTTTAATTGTTTTAATGCACAACTTAATTGTGTTTTTAATTCTCACTTTTTTAAACACTGTGAGCTGCTTTGAGTTTGCTTATCGGGAGAGAGGCATCCTATAAATTACAAATAAATAAGTGAATTTTCTGATGTCTCTGGGCACGAGACCCTGAAACTGGGGGTGGGCAGAGGCCAGGGAAGGAATCTGGGGAACGTGGAGTGGAGGGATGTGGTTGGACCTTTTGTAGGGTAGACCCAGGTGTCCGGGACTTGATGGCCACGGGTTAGAGAACCTGGCTTTGGACTTAATTTTCTCAGATGGCAGAGGTTTAAGAATGGCTGGTGGTCGGATTCCAAAAGAGCTCCTGTGTGGAGAATTAGTGCAGGGAAAGCACCCCAGAGAGGAGACCACAGCTGCAATACAAGGATATCTGCAAGCAGGATCTGAAGGCCTTGGAAATGGACCTCAACAGATGAGAAATCTTGACCTCTGAGCGCTCAGCCTGGAGGCAAGGCGTGGCATCATGGCCTCTCCCAATTTGAAGAGACCCTTGTCCAGCAGGCCGAGGCAAAGAGGCTGTCCTGAAGCCAGCAAAACCAGGGAGCTGGACAGGGGACAGACTGGATTTGTCTTCAGTGTGGAAGGGTGGTCACTCTTGAATGGGCCTCCTCAGACACATTAGACGCTGTTCAAAAATCTCTGTTCAGAGCACGTTACCATAGTCTCTCGAGACTGAAGGATGACTTCTACTAAGATTGGTCAACCTAGTTGAGGAAAGTCGCGAGTTTGTGGGATTTAAAACACAAGATTGTCTTGCTTTGAAGCCCAGTGGGCCTCTGAAGCAACTTGCAAAGATCAGAAGCAAGAGGCAGGAAGGCCCGCCTGTGCTCTCGCCTGCCCACCTGTACTGGGCGGGGGGGTGGGGTTCCTTCCCGATGGAGGTTGGTGGCTCCTGGCTCAGTTGTACAGGGCATCGGTTTTGGGTTGTAGCCCAAACATGACACAAGCTCCCCAGGGGGATGAATCCCATCCCAGAAGAAGGGGATGCAGCCGCTTGGAAAAGGCTTTTAAAGTTCCAAGCCAAACCCACAGAGGATTCATTCCCCACCCACCCACCTACCTTCCAGACACTAATGGTGCCAGGATCTGATCTTCTATACACCCTGCTCAGTTGAAAAAGCTTTTTTTGGGTGCCCACTTCAGGCTGCGAGTGACCTGTATTAATCCTGGGCAGGGTGGAAGGAAGAGTCTTTTCATAGGGAGTTACCTCCGTGGCCAAATATAGCCAGTGGATCCTATTTTGCTCACCTCTGCTGCAGGGTGTACACTCTAAAAGACACGACACAAAAGGAAAGGGGATGAGGAGGGAGGAAAAGACAGAACCTGACCTTAAGTTCTTGGTTATCGAGTTCGGCAGGTCATAAGCCCCAGGACGCTAAACAGCTGGATTTAAGCATCATGGTGGCTGCTGAGCCTCCTGCTGATGGCCTCAAGCCGTGGCAGTTGATTGGGAAGGGAGATCAATTCTCACCTGGGCATGATGTTGGGAAGGCCCTCGCTTTTGTGGTATCGATAAATGCCCGTCTCTTGATTTCTAGAAGCCGATCTTCTGCCAAACCCCCTGCTCCTTGCCCCCCAGAGTACCCCTGGAAGCCCCGCCACCACCATGGGCTCCACTGCAGGTAAGGATCAAGTTCAACTCCTCATGAAATATTGACTCAAGAAATTTTGATTTGCAGGTTTTGTTCCTCTTTTAAGGTTTTGAGTTCACAAACCTGGGGAAATTGGAGATCAGACGATCTCTACGCGACAAGGCTGGGGGGCACCTGGGACCTTCCAGATATGACTGTAAGGGAGCAGCTCTTGTGGACCACATTTAATTCTTTGGAAGAGAACCAGAGGAGAGAGAGTGTGTCTCAAAAGGACAGCATTCCACAGCAGTCTTGCTCATACCATATATGAACTTATGGGGGGAAATTTAAGGATCTTGGCCCTCTTTGGAAGGTTTACAGTTTTAATCAGTTTTACATTTCTCAGAGGGTTTTACACATTTTAAATGCTTCCACCCCCAGAAAATCTGAAATGTTTTAAACTGTCTAAATGGCTTTCATTTGGCCTAAGGTCTCGTGGTAGAACTTGTGGTTTCACTGGAGAGGATTGGTGAGTCTGGGCCATTCCGGCCACCTTGGGAAGGAGAAAGCCTGGGTAAAAATACAGTCGTGCCCCGCTTTACGATTGCCACGCATTACGATGAATCCGCTTCACGACGATGCTTTTGCAATCGCTTTTGTGATCGCAAAACGATGATCTAAATGGACTTGTTTCGCTTTGCGACGATCAGTTCCCTGCTTCAGGAACCGATTCTTCGCAAAACGATGATTTTCAGACAGCTGATCGGCGGTTTCAAAATAGCCGCCGGGTAATTAAAATGGCTCCCCGCTGTTTTCTGGGGCAGATTCCTCGCAAGACAGGCACTGAAAATGGCTGCCCTATGGAGGATCTTCGCCGGACGGTGAGTTTCCAGCCCATTGGAACGCATTGAAGAGGTTTCAATGTGTTTCAATGGGCTTTTTAATTTCGCGTTACGTTTTCATTCTACAGCGATTTCGCTGGAACGAATTAATGTCGTAATGCAAGGCACCACTATATTTTAAATAAATACATTCAATCAATGCTAGATTGTCTCTCCTCGTAGACTTTCCAGCCTATCCTGGTACAGGATGTTTCTAGTACAGAATCTTGTGTAGACTCAACATGTCTTCCCTTCTTAGTTTTTCCTCCTTTTTTTCTCTCTTTATCTCCAAACAATTTGCGCTCAGAGGTCCACGTCACTCCTTCCCAGAGTCCGTTGCTGGGACCAACGGGCCTCTCAGCTGCCGAACGCCTCGCCAATCTCCGCAACCGGCACAAAAAGACCCGGACGGATCTGGCAGTTGAAGTGGCGAGGGCGGCTGACCGGCGCATGCAGGAGGCCACCGACCGGATCCTTTTGGCCCTGGACGATTACGCCAAAGCGGACCTCGAAGATCGGGAGAAAGACCGGCTGAGCACTGAGCAAATCATTGCCATCATGCAGCGCCAAACAGAACTGCTGGAGATGCTTGTCCGGCAGCAGACCTCAGCCCCGGTGCCAATGCTTCAGGCGTCCTCACGGCATGGATGGCCTCCACGGACTGGGCCATCAAGCCACCGGCTTACAGCCATTTCTTCCTCTCGGCTGGCCGTCTCTCGGAGGCCGTTGGCACCCAGGGTCCGAAACAGAAGGAGACCTCAAAACTACAGCCCTTGACCATTGGCTGGTGCGTTGCTAGCTTGTGGTTTTTGAGGAATTGTCATTTTGAAGTTGGGGCTTCAATGAGACCGCTGCGTTCAGGAAGAAGAGATTGTGATATCAGTCTTCGAACAAAATGCCAAAGGTTTAGTGTGTAGAGCTTTCTCAGTGGCTTGTTTCAGACTTGCAAATAACCAGCAGGAAATCCTCCTTTTTATTTTATTTTTAAATAATAATAAACGCATTGTGGCCTCGCATTGCAGGCCGGGGGTGGTTGTTGTTGCTGTGGCTCTCCTTTTTGAAGCAGTTATACTACAAACAGCTGGTTGGATAGCTCAGTGGTTTTAGGTCTCTTGCCGTGGAGCCAGATGTTGGAATTTCGATTCCCCCACTGTGCTTCCGCAGCCTGTGTAGCCTTGGGTGAACTTCCCAGAAGAAGCGTAAACCACTTCTGAGTACTCTCTACCTGGAAAACCCTAAAAGGGTCGCCGTAAGTCAGAATTTACTTACAGCACACATGCACACATATACCACAAGCCTTGGTGGCTTGACCTTAGCTCTCAATGGTAGCTGAGTTCCAGAATCAGTTATTTCATCCCATGACTTAAAGTCTGAGATATGGCAGAGAATCACTAGAAATAAATTTTACTGAACTCATCTCCACAATTTCATCAATTTGGTTTGTTCAAAACGTTCAAAAGGCATTCTGGAAGATCTAACTCATTGTACCCCATACTCTTGACTGTCATTTATATACTGACATTAGAGGATGATATCTGGATCCTTTGGTGAAGGGAGCTTTGGGAAGGGAAAGCAAAACTAGACATTGTGCTTCAAGGACAAAATAATATGTGATCCAAAACATCACTCTATTTGCATTAAAGATGGCTAGATGGAGGGAAAAATTTAAAGACTCTGGACCAAAGCCAGTACAGGGGTGCCTCGCTAGATGATGATAATCCGTTCCATTGAAATCTCTGTTTAGCGAAATCGTCGTCTAGTGCAAAGCATTTCCCCGTTGGAATGCATTGAAACCTGTTTAATGCATTCCAATGGGGAAGAATCATCGTTGTCTAGCGAAGATCAGCCATAGGAAAGCCGCTTTGCGAACCACCGATTAGGTGTTTAATTAGCTGTCTTGCGAAGCTTAGGTTCCGAAAACACCCATTTTGTGAACAGGGAGGGAGCTGTCAAAATCGTTGTCTAGCGAAAATTCGTTTCCGAAGCAGGGACCGAACATTATCCAGCGAAATTCCCCCATAGGAATCAGTGTTTTGCGAATCACTATAGCGATCGCAAAAAGTCAATGTCTAGCGAAAAAACAGTCATGCGGGGTAACTGTCTAGCGAGGCACCACTGTACCACAAACCTTGGTGGCTTGACCTTAGCTCTCAATGGTAGCTGAGTTCCAGAATCAGTTATTTCATCCCATGACTTAAAGTCTGGGATATGGCAGAGAATACGATTCAAAATGTGCTGTAAGCCTGTCTTTATTCAGGAGCAAGGGGAATAGTTTTCCTGGTCAGAAGGAATGGTTTTGGGTCACTTTGAGCTTTGTTACCTTTTTTCATTTTCTAGAATCAGCCTTGCTTGGGCCGTCGTCCCTGTGTTATCAAGGTCAGTGGGCACCATTTTGTTGGTTATTTACACCAGTGTAAATCCTGTGGCATAGGTGTGAATGCCTGTTAGTTAACATGTAACTAAGGGTGGGATTTTTAGATTTATTGGACTACAGATCCCATCATCCTTCACTCCAGTTCTACCTAACAGACAGATACCTTATATGCCCCTAAAGGCAGTTCACCTAGAAAAAAAAGGCCCAAACTGGAAGGTTTTTGAGGCTGGGCTAGGCCTAGCTTCCTGTTTCAGAAGGAAAGCTCCCAGCTAGCATAGGAACAGGAAGCTTAGGCTGTGCTAGGCCGAGCTCACCTTCAAAGCCTTCCAGTTGAGGCCTTTTTTTTCCAGGCGAGCTGCATTTAGGTAGTTTTCTCGTACAACTCCCGAAATGGAGATGGGAGCTGTAGTCCAGCGAATCCAAAACTCCCTCCATATCACCACGTATTCCTTAGTTTGACACTGGGACAAGTGGAGAGTGGTTAACAAACAGCACCTAATTTCTGTTGTTTACAGTTATACTGGTGTATGTAATGAATAGGATTCCGGCTATTAACTTATAAGGACACAATCCCTGTTCCTCCAGCCAGTTGAGGTAGTAGAGTTGGGCTTAGCAGGTCCTGAAACCTTTTGAGTAGCTGGAACTATAACATTGTCAGCTCTTCTTAGGCTTTCGTATTCCCCGTAAGCTTAACAGAAAGCTTCATGGTATTTAGGTAAGAAATGGATTTTCCCATCACTCTGCAAAATATTCAAGGGTGGTTGGGTCGTCAATGAGTCATGAAGAGCCATTACCTTTATAAAAGACCCAATGCTCATTTGTTGATTGATATGGACCAATTCAGCGGCCTACATTTTGGGGGCTCTCTTTAGCTGGGGCTGGTTACGGAAACGACGATGAGCTGAGGATCGCCTAGGCCTGAGGTGGCTGCATCAAATGGGGAAGATTTTTGAACAAAATTCGACATGATCTGGATAGGCTTGAGCATTGGGCTGAAAACAATAAAATGAAGTTTGACAGGGATAGTGCAAAGTTCTGCACGTGGGAAAAAGAAATCCAACACACAGTGACAAGATGGGTGGATACCTGGCTCAGTAAGACTACTAGCGAGAAGGATCCTGGAGTCGTCCTAGAACACATGTTGGCCATTCCTGTGATGTGGCTACAAAAAAAGGCAAATGCTATTTTAGACTGCATTAACAGAAGTCTAGTCTCCAAATCCCATGAGGTACTCATAGTTTCCCCTCTATTTGGCACTGGTTAAGCCTCATCTAGAGAACTGTGTCCAATTCTGGACACCACACTTTAAGAAGGATGCTGACAAATTGGAACAAGTTCAGAGGAGGGCAACAAAGATGATCTGAGGGCATCTTCAGAGGACAAGAGTAGCACAGTGTGGCACATGTGGAACAATGCAAGGAATGCTAGCTAGTCCCAGGATGGCATCTTCAGAGGACAGGAGTAGCACAGTGCGGGACATGTGGAACAATACAAGGAATGCTAGCCAGTCCCAGGAGGACCCACACATTTGTGATGTGTCCCATGTTTCTTTGGCAAACAACATTCATACATGCAGTAAGAGGAGCATCCAAGCTTAGTTTTGCCCTACTAACTCTTCTATGGAGGGTGGCAGGAGGGGTTCTGGCTGAGGATGATCAAAGTCTGAATTCAGGTAGTGTCCCATGTGGTCTAGCAACAAGACTCCACTGCTCTGTTTGTTATTTTTAAATGCAGCTCCCAACATCTAGCAGTGAAGATTTCTCTCACTACCAAAGCAGCACCTTTCTGCTTAGAGGTTTAGTAGCTTGAGAAAAGAATTTGGAAAAGTTACTTTTTTTTTTTACTTCAATGCCTAGAATCACATAGTTGTGACATGCAGCATTCTGGGTTTTGTAGTCCATAAAAGCTCCCACCCACCCACAACTCTGGCTTAGAACTGTACCAGTTTTGCAAGGGAGGGGAACTCCCATTCTCAGAATAAGTATTCTCCAAACAGACTTCTGGGAGTTCTAGCACACAGACGCACACCTACGGATATCTACACTTCACTCGCCTGGACCAGGGCCTATCTCTGAGATATCATGACTGTCTCGGGCCTCGCTTATGTTGGTAATGTACAAAGAAGGAAGCTGCCATTGCATTTTCTGGGAGTCATAGCCTCACTCTCTATAGAGAGCACCTCCTGGAGAACTACGACTCCTAGGGAGCACTGCAGCAACTTCCTTTCTCTTGCTTTAACAACTGGAAGCAAGGCCTTAGAAGCAGGCCTTTCTCCAGGCGAGCGGCAGAGGGGGTTTCTGTAGGTGTGAGTCTGTAGTCTAGAACCACCTGGGGAGTTCTTAGAAAATTCTGGGAGCCGAGTTCAAAAGATATCAAATGGGACATCCGTAGTCAAGATATTGGAAACTGATAGCAAAGACAGGGTTACTCCTGTTGAGTGTGCCAGTCAGTAAAAATCCTGAGGGCTGTGTATGTGGACCACGATCAAAAACCTCTCCATCTGTGGGGCCACTGAAGGAGAAGGCCCACTAGGTTGCTGTTTTAGATAACGCATGGGTGGAAAGGAAGACCATCTTATCTTTCAGTGATAACCTTTATTGCCTTAGCATCCATCAGCAACAATTTCAGTGTGACTATGTTAAATACAACGCTCACAGCAGTCCCATCTGTTAGGCGGAGTGAAGCAAGAGCCTCCTATGGCCGCTGATTAGGGCAGTGATGACTCCCCCCCCATTTTACCCTTCTCATTTATGATGGGGGATCTCCTTTCCATCTCTGCTATCTAAGAATCAGCTGATCATCTACTCAGCTTTTCCTCATGGAATAAGGGCCAACCGCCTTATACTTGATCTCCAGCAGCAAAACGTCTTTGGGTCAGTCCGGAAAAGACTTTTATAACTTTTCTGTCTGCCTCTTAGCTGGCTGGATAGCTCAGTGGTTTAGGTATCGGGGAGTTCAATTCCCCCACTGGGCCTCTTAAGAAGAAAGCCAGCCTGGGTAGCCTCGGGCCAGCTGCACACAGTCTCAGAAATACCCCCGGAAGAAGGGAAGGGTCAAACCACTTCCGAGTACTTTCTACCTAGAAAACCCAGAAAAGGCTCGCCATAAGTCAGAATGGACTTGCTGGCACGTGATTACAGTATTACTGTTGTCACTTGTCTCCTAAAACCCCCTAAATCTGTAGCATCTACATTGGCAACGTTTGCAAATACAGTGGTACCTCACTTAGTGAGGTTAATCCGTTCCGGATTAACCCTTGCTCAGCGAATCCATCGTTAAGTGAAATAAAAAAGCCCATAGGAACGTATTAAAACTGATTTAATACATTCCTATGGGCTTAAAACTCACCGTTCTGCGAGTTTCTTCCATTGCGGTGGCCAGTTTGGATGCCTCGTTAGCGAGGCAAAACAGCGGTCGCCATTTTGTTTTAGCGGTGGCCATTTTGGAACCGCCGATCAGCTGTTCGCTATGCTTTGATCGCATCCGCGCGATCATCGCATAGCGAAAAAAGCCCATAGGGGCCATAGCTGAGCGAGCGCTCCAGCGATGGCCAGGGACCCCTCGTTGTGCGGTTTCATCGCATAGCGAAGCGCTCGCTATGCGAGGCACCACTGTAAATACAAAGGATATTGGTGGGAAAGGATGGGAGGTGTTCTCCCCCCCCTTCAGATTTGTTTCAGCTGTCCTGCAAACTCGCCTATGCTTTCTCTCCGCTGTGGATCCTCATGTGGGCCATCAGATTTGAGCTGGACCCAAAACTTTTCCCACACTCCATGCACACATAAGGCTTTTCCCCTGTGTGGATTCTCTGGTGGCCGATGAGGTGGGATTTCTGACTGAAGCTTTTCCCGCAGTCGGAACACGTGAAGGGCCTGACGCCCGTGTGGGTGCGCTCGTGGGTGTTGAGGTTGGAGCTCACGCTGAACCCTTTGCCGCAGTGGGAGCAAACGTAGGGTTTTTCTCCCGTGTGGGTCCTCTCGTGGCTCGTCAGGTGCTGCTTCTGGCTGAAGCTTTTCCCGCAGTCCAGGCACTTGTACGGCTTGTGGCCTGTGTGGATCCTCTCATGAGCGATGAGGTCGGAGTTCATGCAGAAGCTTTTCCCACACACCAAGCACTTGAACAGCTTCTCGCCCGTGTGGATCCTCTGGTGGCGATTGAGGTGAGACTTCCCGCTGAAGGTCTTCCCGCAGTCGGAGCATTTGTACGGCTTCTCGATGGAGTGGATCCGCTGATGCCCGTGTAGGTGGGAACTTCGGCTGAAGATCTTCCCGCACTCCAAGCATTCGAAAGGCTTCTCTCCCATGTGGATTCTCTGGTGAGTGGCCAGCTGAGAGTTCTGGCAGAAACCCCTCCCGCAGTCGGAGCATCGGTAAGGCTTCTCGCCCGTGTGGGACCTCTCGTGCCGAATGAGGTCTGAACGGGCCACGAAGCTTTTCTCACATTCCAGGCACTGGAATGGCTTTTCGCCCATGTGGCTCCTCAGGTGGCTGGTGAAGGAGGAGGTGTGGCGGAAGCACTTCCCGCACTCCGAGCATTTGTATATTTTCTCCCCGGTGTGGGTCCTTAAATGCTGAGCAAAGTCCGAACTGGCAATGAAGCTTTTCCCGCACTGCAAACAGCAGTACAGTTTCCCTCCCACATGCGTCCTCTCGTGCACCACCAAGCTAGATCTCAATGGGAAGGCCTTCGCACAAACCAGACATTTGTGGAGCTTCGGTCCTGGAGAGATCCTCGGGTGGGACGTACGACCCGCCGTCTGACTGAGGTTCTTCTCGTCTGCATCGCTGGCGTTTTGGTCCTGGCTGTTGACACCCTCCTCTTCGGTGTCACTAAGGCCCTCACCGCCTTCCACAGAAGAAACGGAGGTCCTCTCTTGATTTTCGGGATGGCTTTGTGGTTCCGTTTCAGGTGGTTTGGCCGAAATCTCTCCCTTTCCCCAACCCCAAGAATTTTTTTCTGTCAGTGATCGCTGGGGTTCCACTTGATCCACCATTTCCAAATGTGGTTTTTCTTCCTCCTCATCTTCCCGACTTCCATGAGGCCATTCAGTCCCTGCTGGAAAGGGGAGGAGGGGAAAGCAAACCTAACATGATTTAGAAAAAGAGGGAAGGGACTTTTGGATTTCTTGCACTACATATCCCATAATTCTCCATTTTGAGAATTCTACCCGATTTACACATACCTAACAGACATTTAAATGTAGCTCGCTTGGAAGAAAAGGCCTATATCAGAAGGTTTTGAGGCTTAGCTAGGCCTAGTTCCATCCAAGCTTCCTGTTCCTGCCCCAATGCTAGCGGGGAGCTTTCTTTCTGAACAGAGAGCTAGGCCTAACTTGGCCTCAAAGACTTCCTGTTTAGGCCTTTTCTCCCTGGTGAGCCATACTGTGTAAAGTGTCTGTAAGCCAGGTAGAACTCTCAGAATGGGGAATTATGGGATTCGAAGTTCCAGAAATTTAAAAAAAAATCCCATCCCCATAAAACATTATGCTAACAGCATGGACTTAAACTAGAGCAATATTACAGCAAAAAAATCCCACATTCATATGCAAGCATTAAAAAGCCACAGCAAACAGCCTTTGTTCCTTCGCTAAATCTGAGTAAATGCTGGATTCTAAGTTCTGAAAAATGAGGGACCAGCCACTGCACATGCTCACGTATCAAGCTGAATCATGGCTTGTACTAATGATGATTTGTTGCTTAAGTCACAAATTGTGGGGCAGCCAGCTAAATTAACCATGGCTTCTTTCTCCCATTTCTGGTTTGTTTATCTGTTATCAGTACCTGTTTCAGGGGAGGCAGCAGGGGAAACAAGCCAGGGACAAGCCACAGTTGCTGGTTCAGTTGTCACGGCAAACCATGGTTTAATCATACCTGACTTCCTGTGCCAGCAATAAGCCACAGAGTTAGATTTACACATACTGTACATATAAAAAGACAGACTGAGTGGGGAAACTGCTCTTGAGAATGGAGAAGGTTTGGAGAGCAGGGTTGAGATTTCAGTTTTCCTGGTCTACAAATACTCTAATTCTCTATTTTAACTCTTCGATGTGATGTACCTGGGGAAAAGGCCTTGATTAGAAATCTTTGAGGTTTATTTAGGCCCAACTCCACCCAACCCTGTTCAGAAAAAAATGCTCCCAGAAGGCCTTGGGACAGGAACAGGAAGCTGGGGCAGAACTAGGCCTAGCTAAGCCTCAAAGTCTTATAATTTAGGCCTGTCTTCACATTGATGTGTCTGAAACGTGTCTACAAATTAGGCAGAAGTCCCAGAATGAAGAATTAAGGCATCTGCCATGAAGACAATCTGAAAATCCCATCCCTGGTGGACATATCAGAGGCAGCAACCAACAGAAAAAAAATTCTTTGATTTTTTCTTGTAGAGATGTCTCTATGTGAAGTGTTATTTATTTTATTTTTTTAGAAATCTCATGTGATAAGATAGTTTGGTGGTTATAACACCCACCAGTGCAGACTTATTACAATTTCTGTACAAAACCAGATTTCCCCCCATGAAAATACACCCCAATGATAAACAACCCTAAAATGATGCCTCTAGTTCCTTTGTTGATACTGTGTGTCTCCCCTAAAAAAAAACCTAGGACATAAACGAGCACATGATTTCTGTACTACATTTTTTTATTATATTTACTACCTTGATTGTGCATTTGATTGTGAACCACTAATGGGAGTGATATATTTAAACTGAAATAGGAAAGAAATCAATAAAAAGGTACAGTGGAAGGGGGAAATTAACGGATAACAGGACAGCTAGGTGCACAGCATTCAGCCAGAGAAAAATTAAAAATAAAACAGAAAAGAGAAAGAACAAAAGAAGTGTTTCGTATTTGCAAAAAATTGAGAAATCTTGGCTCGAGAAATCACTAAAAAAGAGAAAAAAATTGGGAGGGGGAAGGGGAAGGAGAATAATATTCACCTTCCTAATGCACCCCCCTTCCACCCACCTTACCCTCTAGATCTCTAGGCACTTGAAGTCTATAAAAGTCTATAAAATATGTCTATAAAAATATAAACCACGTAAAGGGATCCTCACCCATAAGCCTGGCCTCTTCGGAGTCCTCCTGCTTTGGCTCTCGGTAAAGCTGTTCTGGTTCAATAGTGGACAAATCCTGTTCAGCTTCGGGGGTACTTGCGGTGACCTGGTGGATCAACACCTGAAAGAGATGGGAGGATCCCAACAGTAGTCGTGACCTGACCAATGCTGGATAATGGACCTCAATCGGATGTATACTAAGATCCTTGGATCTGCAGGGGATCAGTTCCAAGTAGCCCCCCCCATGCTGAAAAACACAGATCACAGCAGTCTCTGGCTCCATCTAGTGACCAGTTCCGGTAACAACATTGTAGAGAGAACCCTATGCATAGCATAGTCTATGGCACCATCTAGTGGCCGGTTCTGGTAACTTCATCTTTATAAATAATTATTCCTAGGTTTTTTCTTTTAATATTTTTAGACCACAACTAATAATCAGCAGATATGAATCCCGTGGATAAAGGGGTCCTAGATTGTTTCTTAAACATGCATCTCTCGATTTGATTCTGGCCCTGTTGTCTGCTTAACTGTCGCATTAGATATATATATTTTAGGGGACTTACAGAGGTTGCCACGAGTCGCATGAGGCCCATCCTAAACACCCCTCTGAATATGAGAGCAGCAAAATTTGCTGACCAAAATGCCGCCAAAATCGGGGGGGGGGGCAAACCAGGGAACTTTGGCACGGATGTCTATGAGCCCCTGGAACCCAGGCACATATTTTGGTAACACCCTACCACAGGTCCCTCCCTGTTTCTCCCACCTCTGTATAAGGCAACAAGTTCTCCTCACCTGATTTTCTGGTCTCTCCTTAGCTTCTTGTTGCTTCAGCAGGAAATCCTCGGCCAGGGCCACCGCTTGAGAGCAGGTCTGCGGGCCACCTTCCATCACCCAGCTCTGGATCGCTGGCGGGAGGATGGCCAGGAACTGCTCCAGGACCACCAACTCCAGGATCTGCTCCTTGGTGTTCCTCTCCGGTCGCAACCACTGGCGGCAGAGTTCCCAGAGTCGCTGGCACACCTCCCTTGGCTCTTCAGCTTCTGGGTAGCGGAACATCCGGAAATGCTGCCGTTGGGCTTCCGTCTCGAGCGCAACGTCGTGAAGGATCTCTTCCTTGATGGTCTTGTATTCTCCACTGTGGCTGGGGTTTTTGTAAGCTCTCAGGGTGACGCCATCAACACCTGCACCGCCAGACGTAAGTTTGGTGTCTCCGTTGGGTGTCTCCTCGAGTCCCACCATCTGTTGCTTCCTAATGGCTGGCTGACTACCCTCAAGATATCCCTCGAGAGGTGCCTTTGTATCATCCCACAAGGTTTGGGAATATCCAAGCTGCGTGTCAGGAACACGAACTACCCTCAGGAAGTCTTCAGAATCCCAGCATTGGGACAATCCCTCGTCCGGTTCCTCTTTCACACAACACTGTATACCTCCTGACTGGAACAGGGCAGCTTGAGCGTCTCTCTCTCTCTGCTCAGCAGCCATTTTATCCTGCTGACAAAGCAAAAGCATGAAATCGTGATGAAGTGAAAAGTCACATTTCCATAATTTGAAAATGCACGATATGAAAAGTTCAACCAACGATCCTGAAACGTTCAGATTTTGATATTCAATGAGATGGAGCACAATTATTTCTATCTTTATTTATTTCCTATCTCTAATTTCTCCCTCAAATAGGCAAACTGTCCTTCAAAATAAGAGATCAAGGCGGCTTACAAAATTTTTGTAATTTTTATCCTGCCCAAGTGGTGTTTTTCCCCCCCAATTTTTGGTTTTTTGAATTTTTATCCTGCCCATCTAGTGGCTGTGATTAAAAAGACAACACAGCTGAAAAGTAAGCATATCCACAGGTATTGGCCAATCTGAGCTATGCATTTACATCGGTTTAAGTGCAATTACATAATTTTTGCAACTGTCACATGACTGTAAATGCAAGCCATGACTCGTTAATAATGGGCAATCCACGACTGTCATTTACACAGTTACACTTGCATGGTGTAAATTGGATCCTGGCCATTATTAAATTGTGATTAGACATCTCCATACTAAAGCCACTACTGCCAAACCTTTTGAAAACATATCAGATATTAAAATGCACACCACGGGGAGCAGCCAGTGAGTTCTCTCAAAGTTAAGGCTGAAGAGAAAAGTAGAACAACAGCGTGGGTTGGTTGGTGGGAAACACAATGAAACTCCGAACACATTGGGCAGAGGCAGAAGAAGCCACCGGGGTCATCCCTTGGAGATGAGCGGTGTGGGACTACAGATGGGTAACAGAAGCAATTGTTGTTAAACTGCGGAATTCACTGCCACATGATGTGGCAATGGTTGTCATCATAACAGTACACATTTGTACCATACACATTTGTGAAGAAAGCCTTCGCGAATACAATAAGCCAGTCCTTACATACCTTGAAAATCCACATGATGTGGCAATGGTTGTCATCATAAGCAGTGTTTGGAGGGAACCGTACACATTTGTGAAGAATAAGCCAGTCCACTGCACCCCTCAAAAAGAAACATGCTATTCCTTGAAAATTAAGCCTGTGTTTACTTCCTTGTGATCAAACATAAACCAAAACAAGGCTAATGGTAAAACCACTCCCTGAACATCTTACATACCTTGAAAATGCTATTAAGTTCACCATAAGTCAGACCACGGCACAAAACAGCCATGCTCTCTGCTCACAGCAGGTCCCATGTGCCTTATGTAAATAATTTGAAATCCGCTTTTTTTCCAACAGTTAAATTAAAACCACACACACACAAACGTAAATTGAAATACTTTCAAAACCAACAACCAGCATTTCAAAATCAAAGACAAAAGGTTGTTAACAGCTTCTAGGAATACAAGAGAATTGCAAAATAAGAGAGCAGATAAATTGATTTCCACAAAAGTAGCCCCTGTTTGTTTACGGCTGCAAAACATAAGCTGTTGCCCGCCCTGCGAATGGGTTTGTGTCAGGAGTGCTTGTCTGTTTTCTGGTTAAAATAAACTGGACAATCCCTGCACACACAAAAATATGAAGGGACATAAATCTGACATTAGGAACCCGTGACACAGAAAAAGTAGTTTCAGAAGAATTCAAGAAAAATTCAGCCTCCAGGACACTCCATTGCAGTGGCTACTGAAAGGAGAGAGAGAGAGAGAGAGAGAAAGGCATTATAAAGGGAGATCAGAAAGGAAAGCAGTGAAGGCAGCTACATAAACCAGTTCTTGTGTTTCCCCATGAGTCGCAGCAGAGATCATGGCTTTTTATCAGACTGCATTTATTAATATCCAACTTTCCGCTATAAAATAACTCTCTTCCAAGACCCTCTCTGATAAACAGGTAATTCTTCGCATTCCTGTGACAGCTAGATCATCATCCTAGCTTGTTCATGCTAATTAAGAGCTTGATCATCTCATTCCTGTGTCAGTGCGATCCATTATCACATGGTCTATAAGCGGTAACCTCACCTGCTCACGGGACAGGTATAAATATATCTGTATATATATATACAGGAAGTTTATTTTCCAGCCTTTAGGTCAGAAGGAGTGGATTTAGAGCTGTAAAAGCTCATATAATGGGGGGGGGGAATATTGAGAATGATAAATTTCTCTATGGGTCCTGTCTCTACCGGTCCACCTTGGGTCCTTTCAAGCAGAAAGGTGGGGAATGAATGAATGCATACATACATACATACATACATACATACATACATACATACATACATACATACATACATACATACATACATACATACATACAT